GTCTATCATTTTCATTTGTTTATCAAATAAACTTTAGAAAAATAAGAATTTGTGCTATTTTCTGAAGTAAATTACAAATTAAATAGCAAAATCAATTTTTATGAATAAAACATGAAACATAACATAAAAGATAACACATCAAAATAATACATAGATTTTAACCAATACCCTGAACAAATTTCCCTAGCATTCTCCCATTTGGGAAATGAGAAAGGAAGAAATATAGATGTTACAGGTTAATCATGTGATTAAAAGTAATTTTGACAATATGAGTCATGAGTGATCTTCACTGATTTAGTCAGTAAAATTTATTATAAAGGTATAATCAGGCATTCCTGATTTATGGAGAATCACACTGATATCATCATTATGACACATTAGTCATGAAGATAAGCAGGTCCAAAGAATTGTCCAGGTCATTTAACAGGCCACCAAAAATAGGACTTTCTTTCCTAGCTTCTCTTACAACTTGTGAATCACACTTTTGAGTGCTAGTAAATCTTAATCATATTTCTTTTGGAAAGTAATAAATCTTTAAGCTTACTAAATTGTCTCATTATAAGCACATCTCCGTAGGGAAACTCACCTGGCATTTGCTAAACTTGGTTCTTTACTTGAAAGTGAATTTCTGTTTATTATTCAGAGTTGCAGATGTTACTGCTGTGCCTAGACTAGAACATCCATAAAGTACTTAGCCCCTACCTGCAGGCTAAAAATGTGACTTACAGTCTGTCTTCTGTCTGTCCTTGTAAAATCATAAATAGGACCTTCCTTCATTCTCAGTGTTTGGATGATAAATTTTATGGTTACCCTAGTTATTGAGAAGTTAAATTAGGAGAAAAAATAAAGACTCTCCAGACAAACGAAAGTATATTGATTCCCCAGCACCACTGCAGGGACACAAGGAGGCCATAGCATAGTTACCCTAAGCCTTAAGAATAAAATTATGGAACTTATTATTTAACTGACGATCTAAAGGAATGAAATTTTAAGGAAAAAAAAAAGATAGCTAATAGATAATAGTCTTATTTTTCTAAGAAGTACCTAAGTAGCAGGCCAAAGCTATTCAATGTAGTCATTAAACCTAGACTCCCGAGGAGGACTGCTTGGATTTCAGGCCTAGCTCCAAACACTTAATCTCTCAAGCTTTAGTTTCCTCATCTATAAAAAAGTAGATGATAATAAAAGTTCCTATAGAATAAGATGATACAGGAATTAAATGAGATAACGCATTCCAAAGCAATCAGCAGAGTGCCTGCCACATGCTAAGCACTCAGCAAATATGAGTTACTACTATTTAATAATTTGATATACCCTCAATAAAAAGCTCAGTTGGTAAACTGAACATGTAACTGAACTTCTAGATATACTGCAGATACATTCCTAACTATCATGTGCAAGAAATGCACACAGATAGTTCCAGTTTTATTTTTATCTATACTAGAGTAATACATTCAATTAATTAAAGTCAAAGTAGATATTACATAAATATGTAAATTTAAGATTCCAGAATAATTGAGTCATTCACCTGTTTTTCATTCATTCAATAAATGTTAACTTAGAGCAAGCTATAATAGGTCAGTGTGCCTTTTAATTAATACTGGAACACACACTTGCACCTGCTCTACCTAAAAATGCTAATGAGAAGTCCCTAATTCATTGCATAATTGGTTCAGTTAGATAAGATTCACCTTCTATAAAGAAGTAGCTATTCAGTAAATAATTTTGCATAAATCTATTTAAATGCCTCAAAGATGAAGAACCAGGGAATTTGTGAGCAAAACTGACTTTTTTTCTTTTGATGAATTTGATTAAAGATAAGCTTTCAGTGATCAAAACTAAACAAAAGCTTTCTAAAAAAAGGTTTAAGATAACTTTTTGAATTGGATTCTGAGATATTCTACGGTACTATGAGGTATTGGTGGGGAGGAGGAATGAGAAATTTAATGGAGTGGACACTAATATCAACACTCACTACAACACCATGCAAAGAACTACAACTGCTAAAATTCTTTACATATATAAAGTGAGTACATTATCTTGTTAAAATAAAGGATAAAAATAAGAGTAACATTTGCACTGCTCATGAGAAATAAAGGATAACAGGAATTTAAATAAGTTGAAAGCAACATACCCTGTATAAGAGCTTAGGAATCAGAACTCCCTTTGCTCACTACATTATTACACATTATAAAAATCTGACAAGACTTTTTATTCTGTTGGCTATATGTTTTTCAAAGAAATAGAAGCAAACACTGAAGTGATAAAGGCTTGCTTATCTCTGTTAAAATATTTTGTTTCAATTTTGATGTCACAATTAAGATTGTTATTCTAAAAATAAGTATAAATTTACAAAATTTGACTTTTACATATACATTTATCCATTCAGCACATCTCCAATGTACCCTCTCTGTGGTAGGTATGGATCAAAGAAATAAAAGCAGAATCCAGAGATATATACATGCATATTTATAATACAGGGTAATAAGCACAAAGAAATGTGAATTATTTGCACATATGAGATGGTACACACCCAACTGGGTATGAGGGATCTCCCAGAAAGTAACATCAGATTAAAGTCTTAAAAGCTAAACTTGAGTTCAGTGAACTCAGGGGACAGCATTCTGCACAGAATCTCTCTATGTCAAAGCTAAATCAAGACAGTGGAGAAAGATTAAGAATTTGGACAACTGCAATATTAAGATATAGCAAAGATGAGCCTGTAGAGTTTTGGCATGGACGCTGCCACATTAAGTTCCATAGTAAGATTTGTGTTTTACAAATACAGCCCAGCAGCAGTCCAAAAAAATGGATTAACAGAGAGACTGAGGTAGGAAAATCAAGACCTGAGCTAGTGCAGCTGGTGAGAATGGGGTGGGGAGGTGATGGGTGGATTAATGAGCTACTAAGAAGGCCAAAGGAACAGAGATTCATGAATACGTATTAGTTCACAGAGGAGAAAAAAATAGCACAATGAGTTCTAGGTTTCCTGAGGAAAAAGAGAGAGGCTACCAAGAGAAGATTTACATTAGAGCATAAACTGAGTATGAAAATATCTGGGAATTTTAAGACATCATTAAAGCTCTTTATTATGCTGCAAAACCCTGTTAGCTAAAAGATTAATAGAATTTCCCAAGGGATCTAATACATGAACATGG